CCCCAAAACCCCAAAACCCCAAAACCCCAAAACCCCAAAACCCCAATACTAAGCTAAAATATTTAAACTAATTTTTTATAAGAATTATGCTCCTTCTGCTATTTCTTCGATCTCCTTGAGTTGATCCTTCTGCTCTTGAGTAAGTCTGGTAGGGAATTCAATGTCGAAAACAATATAGAGATCTCCCTTCTTCTGCTTGCCTAAGAGATTTTCCATATATTCCTTCTCTTTAATTAATGGGAGTCCCTTCCCTTCAATCTTCTTTTCTGTCTGAGGAGTGATCACTTCATCTATGCTGGTTTAGAAAATGTGGAATGGGAATTTATTACCTATGGAGAGCTCAATTCTTTCTCCAGTAAGAGTGATAATACTAATGGGGGTTGACAGTAAAGCATCTTGAAGACTGATGTGGTATGTCTGTATCAAGTCGTACCCTCTCATTCTAATATCATCAAGAGGGATTTCTTTTGGAACCTCATCTTTGGATGAGTAATAGATTGATAGAGTTTCTGGATCGATTGGCACAGGAACAGTAGAGGAGCAATCCTTCTTTTCTTCCTCAACTTTCTTCTTGCTTCCTCCTACAACTGGCATTGTAATATCAATAAATGGATTTGAGGTGCCAAAGAAACTCCTAAAGACTTCTAAATAGTCTCCATGGAAAGCATATCCACCTTTAAGACCCTCCTTTGGGGTAGGGATACCCTCTTTAAGCAATTTCTCCCCATACTGATCATAAATAATTTTAGTTTCTGGGTTTGAAAGCACATCATAGGCTTCACAAATTTCTGAGAAAATGTAGCTTTTGTCTTCCAAGCTCTTGGTCTCTCTTAATGGATGGTATTTGACAGCGAGCTCTCTGAATGAATTCGCAATATCCTCTCTATTAGAGTCTCTTGAGATTTGAAGAATTTTATAATAGTCTTTCCCCATTTAAATTTATTTCTATTTTAGAATAATTTTTAGGGGTTTTGGGGTTTTGGGGTTTTGGGGTTTTGGGGTTTTGGGG